CCAATTCTTTGACTTTGCATTTGAATTGCCAGAGTGTAGAGAGTTTTTACGTGAGCTTTGGGCCCCTCTCTCTCTACCTTTCCTCTTTTGCTGCTCTTTGTTTTTAATTAATTGTGTTTGTGTGGGTTTTCTACTATATTGATGTGTTTTGCAACAAAAAGTACTCTTTGCATCTACGTTATTGGATGAGTTCGAATCTTCCCAATTTGGTGACATTCGTTGAATTGATGTTGGGAGTTTCGTTGAAGATGCAGTGATTGATTAGGTGGTGGTGATCGAAATTCCATGTTTGTGGTGGTCCCGAGAACAATGTCGGTGGAGCGTTTGTAGGAGGTAAAAGATCGAGGGTTAGTTTAGTTAAATTTGGTTTGATACTATTGGGTTGTTTATCTATTTGAATTGTCGTGTTTAGTTAGATTCTTGAATGAATGGTTTGAATGTGCTTCTTAATTATGGATCATAATATTGTGCTTAATGATTTTGAGTTGCTTTTAATTGATTGTAATTTATTAATACATGGGAACCAGGTGTCGAGAAACTGTTGATGATGGCCGACAAAATCATAATCATTTTTACATGGGATAGTCATTATTTTTAATTGTTTTTATCTTAGCTTTTTTACTTGGTCTCTTTTTTCCAAGTATTAATTTTATTAGTATTTAACGGTCCATGCAATCAGCAAACTTCTTCCTTAGTAGGAAAATTGTCGTGTGAGATGTTGATTTGAAATGCTCTTCATTTGTTAGTTTTCATGTATGACGTGCTCGTAATCACTAAAGCATACTATCTCTGTTTTTTTTTTTTTTTTTTGGGTTTGGATTTTGGAAAAATTTAATTTGTTTATATTTGTTTTGTTGTAGAAACTGGTGAGATTTGCTTGCAAATTTCTTTTTTATATTATAGCAAAATTGAAACTTTAATTCGAATTTGGAATTATTGGATTTGGGATTTTGTTTCGGCATTGGACTTGACAAGGTTAGGCCATGTGTATACATTTTCTCTCTTTGGGATTTTATCTTTTGAGCAACCTATATTGTCGTAGGAATGCTTTTGGTTTATTTTATAAAGTGTTGGAAGCTATCAAAATAATAAGCTTGACATTCTAATTCTCTATTTTGCATTGAATTTGTCCAATGAGTTTTCCCTGAATAGGTTAGAGTTTTGGCCCGACCAAATAGTGTCTCCAAATAAGTAGACAATGCACTATAGGGTCATCTCTTTTTTAAAAATTTTAAGGTTTTAGCATGTCTGAGTCAAATGTACTGGTATATCTATTTATCACATTTTGGAGTTGAAGTTAACTATAGGAGCTCGATTATTTGATCATAAGTCTTTCTCTGCACTCCTCTATATCTTTTCCTAGATAAATTGGTAATCTCTTACAGTCTCTTTAAATTCTTACCTATATCAATCTAAATCCTCCCCCTCCTCCCCCCCCCCCCCCAACTATATACAAATGTGTGCTCATTAGTTTTTTAGATAATTCAGGGTAATGGAATTGATGACAATAATTATCTTGAATCCAACTAACGATAAAAGTAAGGGGTCTTATGTTTTGGATTTACAATTGTTTTATTTTGCCTCACATATTTCGATAATTTTTTATATTTCAAATATTTTCAGGTATAGATTGAAGGATATGAAGATGAAGTTAAATGTATTTCTCTATTTGTGCATGTGTGTATTTTTTGTGTTCCGTCTTTTGTACAGTTAACTAATTATACGTGGTTATGATGATTTTGAATATGGAATAATTGTTGTTTTGGTGGTTGGGTATGTTTTAATGATTGTGGTGATATGGTGTATTATGGTGGTTGGTATGTATAATTGTAAGTTTTATAGACATGTTTAGATTTTTTTGAGCTTATATTTTTAAAGGAAACTATGCCCAAATTTCTTGAAATTAGTAGGGACTAGCTTGATATTTTGGTAGTTGGATATGTGTTGATGATTGAGTATGTATTGATTATTGTGGTGGTATGGTGAATTATGATGATTGTTATGTATGATTGTAAGTTCTGTAAACATGTTTATATTTTTATGGGTTCCTATTTTTAGAGAAAATTATGCCAAAATTTCTGGATAATAGTATGGACTACCTTGATTTCAAATTGACAGGTTATTTTAGTTTGCAAAGAATCTTTAGATAATGTAGGATTGTTTGAGTTGTAATTTAATTTTTCGTTACGCCGTGCCTTGAGGTATGGACAATTACTAGTACATACAAATTTCTCCTCATCTTTCTATTCTCTTAAATTGTCTGAATTTGCTCTCTCTCTCTCTCTCTCTCTAAAATTACAATTATCAATTTATTCTCAAAATAAGAATAAACCTTTTATTCCAATATTACAAAAATTTTATCGAGATCCATCTATCTTTAATTCTTTTTATTTCCTATTTGATTCTTCAAAATTAAACTGAAAATATTAAATAGAACAAAAAAATATACAATATGATGAAAAACAATATGTTGTATGATATTAAATACCAAATAAATGAGGGATCACGTAACAAAATAAAAAATCTCGAATAACAGCAATAACAAATCAACACATATTTTGCATATCTCACATAATGCGAGATTAAAACACATTTTTTACACCTCATCAATCACTTCATTTCAACTCAATCCCACATGCTTTTTGATTGGCGATGCAATGGATTTTTGTATATCACGATTCAGTCTCGATTAACACAAACATGATCAATGTGATCAATACACTTAAAAAAATTAAATTTGAACTTCACAATTATGATAATACAAAATAGAACACAATAAAAAATAATCAAAAAAATACTCTTTATAAAGAAATTCAAGAACAAACATAATGTATACTAACTGGTAGCTTGAAATCATCACACAAATAGATTTTGTATACCAAACTCTTTTAAATGCATACATGAGAGATGCACTGGAAGACCTCACATGCATCCAAACACTACCCCCACCTAACTTTATTGACAAACACACACACACACATACACTGGTGAACAAATTGACCACTCACCCTACTTCATATTATATTATTTTTTTTATCCTTTTCTTCATTCCATTCATTTAACTAGCCTTTTCTTCCAATTCTTTTATTGTTTTAATATTTACCCTTTTCCCTTTACTTATTGCTAATATATACTTATCCCAACATTATTAGTATCTTTAATATTACTACTTAAAAAATTCAGGATCTTACATTCATTTTTAGCCTATCTTTGATAGGCCTGAAATGGGTGAATGGAAAAGTGAGGACGGAAAGTATGAATAAAAAAATAGGATGAAAATTGGAGAGAAAAGGTGGCTGCTATGTTGTGGTGAAGTTAATTTACGTGTATACCCTTATTAGACCATCCGTCCCTCCGTCGACTTTAATCCCTGTAATTTTTAATGGTATAAGGGCACATGTGGTTTAGGTATTAAATTGGATTATTTGGTGAACTTTATTATCACACTAGGACTAATCTTGTCTTTGAAAATACTATGCAATATCAAAAATTGAACATTAATTGTGCAATATTTATATTTAAAGAGAAAAAAAAAGAGAGGTAGGGGAGAGAGAGAGTTGTGTGAGGATTAAGGGGTTGTTTGCTATTGAAGAACGTGTTGATTGAGTTGTTTGACATTAAAAATTAAGCAAAGAGTACAATATTTTTTAGCAGCATTAAAATTTTTGAGTTAAATTTTATACCATTGGATCAAAGTAGATGATAATTTGATCAATCTTAATCCCTTTTGGTGTTTTAATAAATTGACAATTCAACTTATTAACTGTAATATTAGATAGATGTGTTGGATAAAATTTGAAATAAGGGGGTGGATCCATGGTTTTAACATCAATTCCATGTTTTTAATTTTTGGACTCCAACAGTCAGATAGGATTCGAGTCCAAAAATCAGTCTCACCAAAATAAAGGTACCACTTAGATCACATAGAGCGCGAAAGAGAGAATTTTTTTTTTTAAAAAAAAAGTGAGAGTGGGAGCATCATAAAGATCTTAAAATTTAGTACAGCTGTAGGTTATTTTTGAAAAGTAAGAAAAAAAATTTAATCTCACATCGGTAAAGAATCAACAAGTTCTTTAGGAAGACAACAATAAATAGGACAATTGTAGGCTATTTTGGAATGTAACTGGGCTCAACTTGGGGATTAGTCCATTAGAAGGTTGAAAAACGTTTATTGGGTTGAGTTCCAACCTATTAATTAGTCCAAATTTTTAGTATTTTGGTTATGGATAAATCTTAGTTATGGAGAGTAAGAATACTTATCATCTGACATACTTCAATCTACTGAATTATTTTTTAAATTTGGATTAAATTTCTTAAATATCAATTAAGTGAACCCATAATATTTAGTTATCTGAATTCCACAACACGCGTTTAAGAAATTATTTTGAAGTTCTTTATTTTTCATTTGCCCTTTCTATCACCATTGTTAATTTGAATGTATTGAATAATGATTGTCAAGTAATACTTTTATAATTTGAAAACCAGTCGAGAACAATTGTAAAGGTAAGGCTATGCCATGGTGATCTAAGTGTCAATTAATCAAGTCATAGCAATATTCTTTCACATGCGCCATAAGTTGAACACAAATTTGAAAACGCTCGACCCCAATCCAACCCGTGCTTGACCTTAACTTGAAACACCTCAACCTAGATACAGTCTACTCCGGACAGGCTAAATCTAATTTATTATATTGGGTGTAAAGCTCGTTTTCCTAAATATTATATCCTGTTTAACTTTTTTATTAGGCTAATATAGAAAAAAAATGCCCATTAAAGACACTAACCTCTTTGAGTTTGCCTTCTTTATATATAAGAGAGGAAAATACCTTCTTTTTTTTTTTTCTAACCCCTATAGAGTTCCAACTGAAACATCTTTTTTGACTCTTTATTCAACATTCCACATCGGTTCAACAAGGAATGTTGCAATCCCTCTAGTGCTACAAAAACTTCTTGATGAGTTATGTGCCGGCACAACACAGTTGCCCTTATTAATCGACGTCTCACACTAAGAAACCTAAAAAGTACAATGAAATAAAGAACGTGCACGTAACATTACAAAGGATAACTAAACTGACTTGGAGCTGAACTCCTCTACCAAAGAGGATAATGAGCAAACCACCGATCAACCATTGCTAGACATTCACTAGGTTTATGCTCTGGACTAGTATGACCCGCTCCCTATTAAAAGTAACGAGGACACAATTAATTTGGATCCTCATTTTACAAATCCAGTGGTTGATATAAAAATTAAGAGAGAGATTAAATACCTTTACTGTTGCATATGTCAATGAGTAGTCGTCGTTGTGCGTATAAGAAACTGTATATCTGCATAAAACAAATTACAATATTACCTTGTTGATGAACTTTCAATGAGTAACAATTTAAAGCAGCTCAATATTTTGTAGCTCAATATTATGTTGCAAAGATGTTTAGAAGTTTAAGAACCAACCCTGCTACTTGATTGTTAACAAACCACGGCTTCCAACCACTTTCAACCGTCAAATTTAGAGATTTTATCCATTTCTCAGTAGCCAGATGAGGAACTCTCATGTCAAGATCGCCGCTGTTAGAAGAGAACATTTCGTCGTAAGAATAAGTTCTTTTTACAGTTAACTATTGTCAAAAAAGTTCTGATATACACACTTACAGTACAGTGTGTCTATAGGAAATTGAATTTCATAGAGGAGAAACGGTAGTTGCTGTGTTTGCAAATATTTGGTTTGATGTGTTTGATTAGGTCACAGTGTCTGTTCCAGTTGATACAGTCCATATTGTATTCTTGTAAGGTGTAATGAGATAGTGTTAGGATGCTATTACCTGAATATTAAAGCTCGACAATTTTTGTTCGTTAGATTTCGATGATAACCAACAGTATTAGGGACGTTGAATGTGTAAGCATTGGTTGCACTTCTACCAAATGAGTATTCTATGCTGTGATTGCAATGCAGCCATTCTGTTATTGTTCCCTGTTGGTCACATTAATCAATAGTGATGAAACTATGATGAATGTGATATTAATGCAAGTTGATTAATGTACCTCGCGAATGTGAAGTGCTTTTTGAACAGCTCTATCATTAGCCCACATAGTCGCATAATTATAAATAAAGTCCTACAAAAGATAAAGATATAAGCATGTTAGTGTAATACAAATCAACCTGACAAAGAACGAAAAGTTTATACGTAAGATGGGGAAGGGGATTACACGACACCCTGGTTCTGGAAGTAGAGGTAGTGACCACAGTGGGTCCATGGAATTCTCTTCAAGAGAGCTTCTGTCCCATCTTAGCAAGCTCAAGTTTACATGTGATGTATCGCACAAGGGTTCCAAAATTTGTGGCAAATTTATTTTCTCGATGCACTACAAAACAAATGGTAAGTCTTCTTAGTGGATATAATAACAAGTGTTCAAGAGATTGATAAAGTTTAATACACAAATTCTTTCAAATTTTCTAGCAACATGGGAATGAAGATTTCTTAATCACAACGAGCATATGAAAACCAAGGTGGGAGATTTCCTCACCTTTTCTACGTCTTGTAGATCACTTGTACACAATCCATTGTTAGGATCTACGTCTACGTACTCGCCATGGCAATTTGCTTTGGTTGACTAAAAAATATTCAAAGGTCACAAATTTTAGAATCACATCTCCATAATAAGAAAAAATTGTGAGTGTTTTTACCATTATCGTGGGAGGGGAATAATGTAAAACTATGGTCCTAAATGACTCGAACAAACTAAGCACGAGTGTGGAAATTTGATTTGCCTGTACAACAAAAGTTAATGCTAAACTGTATCTAAAAATAGGCTAATGGGAGAATCATGGTTTGATCTTAGAGGAAAAGTAGCACATACGAACATCGTGGATAACCCAATTTCAAACCTCCTTCCCCATGTACATTAAAAAAGGGGACACGGGGGTAAAGGCTTGTATTAGCTATCATTCAAGGGCTCTAGTGAGCGTCTGATTGAGGGAGCTTATAGAACTCAAATATACACAACTCTTAAGACTCGGACATACCAAGTTACCTTGTAGAGTTCATCAGATAGAAGTGTAACACGATGGGCATATTGTATTCTTGAATTAACGTCTCTATTTTTATCTGTTAGAGGGTTGCCAAGCATGTATCCCTGTATCCAATTGAGAGAGTCAAATTTAGGGTTATTACAAAATACCAAAACATGCACATTAGAACTCAGGTCATTCAAGATCTTCAGTAGGATCATTTACTTTAATATTCATTTGAGGCTCATTTCCGGCTTCATTACCTACACAACAGACAGAAAAGGGAGAAAAGGAGGAAAATTAAGGAAAATCACAGGTATATGAATCAAAACCTTTCTCAATGAATAAATTTGGTTTACTTTACAAAAGCTAAGTCTTTCCATTTTTTCTATCATGAAAACAGATGAAAGGGAAGAAAAGTTGGATCGATATCTAATCTGTACTAAAACATATTGTTTGTATTCATCAAAATTTTGTTTTTCTCTAGCAACCAGATGAAGCATAGCTTGATATAAAGGAGTCTCCATGACCATAACTAGTTGAGTACCATTGTATATCTCCTCCACAATGATTGGAACAACCATGCCAATGTAGGAGATACCACAAATGTACAGTGGATTGTTGAGAAACTTGGGGTGGTCCACAAGCCACTGCGTCACAATGCAAGAATTAAGGAAATACTTTTCGTTAGTCCGATATCATGAAATAATCAACAATACACTTCAGTGTGACAGAATGTTCAAATATACTCAATCACTATTGATCCATTATGTTATATAAACAATGTATTATCAAAATATGGGTATGCCGGGATTGAGATTGCAATTTTAGATGCTCTCCAGATATAATGATATTTCTAATCTTTAAATATGTTTCTCTCACCTTCCTAAGAAATTCATAAGTTTGTGTTGCCGATATTGTATCGCTGCTGAGGTAAGCTTCCGAAGTATTGGCATAGGAGAATCCAGTCCCAACTGGTTGATCTATAAAAATAATGTTGGCAATCTACAGAGTTGAAACCATTTTACATTAGTCGACAGACTAGAGGTTTTTCAGGGCTTTGATTGCATATATTTCTAGAACCAAGTGGTAGGGTAAGAATTTTAGACCTTTGTCCAAGAGTATGGGTTCAACTCCATTGTTGGTTGGTTTCCACCGGAATTTTCATAGTTGAATGTGAACGGGCCTACCCAAAAGGCAATAAAAATGAAGCAATTTCGATTGAGGAACATGAAATTTTCAAGTATATATTAGAGATTTCCTTAACATGACCGATATTGAAATTATAATGATGGTGACTAATGCAATGAAATGAGACGATTTGGGCACTTTTTAGTTTACATCAATTCAAAAAAGAAAAAAAATACATGATAACACATTTTTCTTGGTGTTCTAGTTCACTCCAACCTTATATCTAGAGGTCATATGTTTTAATTGTTTTTTTTTTTAGAAGTATACAAATACAATGATATTCATTTATAGCTATTTGCATAGAAAAGCAAATAGCATAAAAAAAAAAACTAGTCGTAGATTAATTACAACATAAGACTAAGATCATACAAACCAAAAACAGGTAAATATGCAAACCAATGTCATTTATAGAAACCCTAACAAACTAAGAACGTACTAAATTAGCATGTAATTATTGACTAATCACTACCCGTATTATCAACAAGTAGTCTGCATTTCTGTTTAACTCTCTTAATCCCTCTGTTAATTTGATTTGAATGTGTTTGAAGTGTGCTCATTGGCTTGTATTATGGGCGTATACAGATATGATAGGGCACAAGAAAATATAATTGAAAAATAATAATACGTTTGGATTTTAGGGTGGGCCAGGGTAACGATCATCTTGGCCCCCACGTAGCATACCCTTGGTTGGGATCGGCCAGGTCAGATCGCTGGTCAATGGGCTGATTGACTACTGTTAAAAAAATAGACTTAATTGTAAAAAAATATATAGAAAAAAATGTAAGGTAAAAAAGTCCTTAATTTTGACACTTATTTGTTTCCAAGTATATTATTTAAAATTTTCATATTTTCTTTTGACCTTTATATCCTCCCATTATCTATGCATATTTTTTTTAAAAAGTAGTGCATTAAACATATCATAATTTTATGAGAGAACTTTAATATTCCATATTTTTATGTTCTCCCCTGATTCATGCGTATTTTTTTTTAAATGATTTTGTTTTCAAATTATATTATTATCCGAACTCCATAACAGTGTAAAAAAAATAATGTAACAAGACATTTACACAAAATATTATACTATTACATTTTGTCAAACATATATTTTCATATAATTTCATTCAAAACAATCCATCTCAGTTTTAAAATTGTTACTACATGCACAACCACTAAATATTGTTTTTGTTATAATGTATTATTACATTTTTTTTGTTACACTATTGTTTAATGAATTGTTAAGTTTTTGTTACATTGTAAATAATTTTATATGTCAAATTATATAAAAAAATAAATAACAAATTTTAAAATTCAAACAAAGTGATATATTCTAAAATAAACGAAATATTAAATTTTTTTCATAAAATTAGGAGATATTTTAATGTATAAATACAATTTAAAAACAAAACTACTTTAAAAAAAAATACGCATGAATCAAAGTGCATTAGAGATTTCGAATTAAATGATCCTAAATTTCAGCGTTTAAGATAAATGTTTTGTTACAGTTTTTAGGAAAGAAAATTTTATAAAATGGGCATTTACGTCTTTGTATCTCAGTTGTGTACTTTTTTCTAATACATTTTGTTGTATATTTTTTACAATTATATCTAATTTGTTGTACTGACTTCCAAAGGACACAAAATATTATATGAGGCCCTATAATTATTTTTTTAGTAATAATAGTAATATAAAATACTTATTAAAATATGTTTATTTATAAATTATTTGTTTCATCTTTTGAGATATAACATACTAATTCAAATTTTAAATTTAAATTTTATAAATAAAAATTGTGTTAATCGAAGTCAAATACGGAAATCAATCACAATGATACATATTATTTGTTTAAGAAAAAGAGAAACATAATTGAAAATTAGTTTAACTACAAAAATGATTTTTTTTTTCAAAGTGTATATAAAAATAAGAATTTATATAAGTTGAGTAGTACTAAAATAAAAGAGACATTTATAATATAAAACATAACAGACTTAAAAAAATTCATTCGGCGATCGCAAATAGACTTATTTAACGGCCATTAACATCTCCCTCAAAATCATTCAAATTGAATTTTTCCTCTTAAATCCATCACTTCTCCCTTGTAGTTTACCATGTCTTTAGGCACGAATTATCCATAGTTGTTAGATACCATAGATAAAAAGAGCTAATTTTAAATAAAAAAATAACTAATGCACTACTTATACTCACTATTTTATTGTCATCTTGTGCATTGTACAAATGTAAAATTATTATTCGTACCTATTATATGATAGATGATTGATTTTAATAATAAGACTGCAAAGTGATAAGTTGAACTTTAGAGATCTAATTTTTTTTAAAGAGATTCTAACAATTTTACAATAATACTAATTGCACTTAATTTGAAGACCATGTACATTAGATAAATAGAGAATTTTGTTTAAATTTAACACTCACTATTAATTCAATGATTAAAATATATTGAGTATTTAAATTATATTCTAAAATTTTAATTATATATCATTGTTTATTTTATTTTTAGACCCCAAATTTTTTTTTATTTAGGGCTTGGCAATGATCCAAGTGGCCTAAAGGTTGGGCGGCACTAATTACCTGAGTAGCCATAAGTGGGACTATCCTAAGTGTAAAACTCTTTTTTAACTAGCATAATATTATTTAAATTTAAATTATTGACATAATTGTTTATAATCGAAGTTTTGATAAATCACTCAAGTAAGGACTCAAGTCTACTCTGTTCAGCCCAATCCGGTCCATAGACATCCGTAGTTGAAGTCACAGTGCAAGTCCCATCCACGTATTGCCTATAAACTGTTGAATAAATATATCCGCAAAAAGTATGATGTTGAGTTAAATACTAAAAGAAATACTTTATGCCATTATTTTTCATATAATATTAGCAGCATGCGAGTTTTTCTCTCTTTAATTGCAGTCATCATTTCACTGACTCATTTTTTCTGTATTATAAGTCCTCTTTCTGTGAATAACTTATTTCTTTCGTTTCTCTCCGACATCTTCTCTCTCATTCTCGTTCCATTTCTTTCATCTTGCATTCTAGACAGATTACATATATCTAACAGTGAATTTCCTCTGTTATAATTGGATAAAAAAAAAAAATCCTCTGTTATATATATATATATTTCAATTTTATTTGAGTTTATGAATGTCAAACGTACCGATTTCATAGAAGAAGGCACGAAGAGCAGAACAACCAGGACCTCCGGCAAGCCAAAGCATGAGAGGATCATCTGTTGGATTCCTTTCTGATTCAACGAAGTAGTAGAACAACTGCACTTCATCTCTTTCTCCTACAGCAACGTAACTTAACCCAAAAAAAAAAAAAATGATCGTAAATAAATAACCAGTATCAAGCAATGGTACATAAGAGTACTAAAAAGAGGATGTATTCAAATCATATTGTGAACGCAATAAAAAGATTTACGCGTACTAGACCCGCCTACGAGGGACGTGTTGAAATATAACCATTAGAAATCACACCCTTTCGAATTAGCTTAAGCTTTAAATAAGTTTGATGGTTTCACGAAAAAAAAAAAACTTACCCAGTTTCAAGTTTAAATGGGAGATCACCGGGAAAGCCCGGAAGAGTCTTGACGATAGACTGTGACACAATTACTTCGGAAAACACTAAGAGAAGAACGAATCGCAAAATTGCTGAGCTGCTGGTTTTAACTTGGAGTTCCTCCGATTGATGGTCCGCTGCCGGAGATGGTGAATCTGCCGTCAACGTCATGGGTTTACTTTCTAATTAATGTCAACGGCTCGCAAGGTGTTTGAATGAATGCCTTAATGTTTGCCGTCTTTCTCTTTCCTTATAAAGACTATGATGTTGGTTTAAACCCCGGTACCGAAAATTTAATTTTTTGGTATCGGCCTTTAATTTTTTATTCAATACAAAATTAAAACATTATTTTAAAATATAGAAGTTTTTTTTAAAAAAAATTTGTGATTTTATTTTTTTTCATTATTCTTAGCAATCACTAACAACAAAAAATTCAAATTATGATTTAAACTTAAAAATTATTTTTTAGTACGATATCGAAAAAATTAGGATTAATAGTATTTTTAGTCCATAAAGTATTCATTTTTTATTAGTTTAGTTTTCATTGTATTAATTTTATTAATTTGTTTTTTAAAATATTCAATTCATGTCATTTTGGTCTCTAATTAGACAACTCCGTCAAGTATTTTAATAGAAGAGACTACGTACTATTTTTTTAAACGGTATCACAGGCTCAATACGTGATCATTGTGTAAAAAATATAACAGTCCATCTGCGTATGAATCAAAATGTCACAAAATTAAAAATTTTAGAAATCAAAAATACTATTAACCCAAAAAATTATGTATAATTTTTGGAGCTAAAGACGTTTTTATAAAAAAATCTTATTAAATTTACTTGCCATTAAAAAAATCTTATTAAATTTACTTGCCAAATAATATAAATGATTAGATCACTCAGGCCCATTTAAAAGAATTTGTGGGACTAACTAATCTCGATTTGGTTTGGTACTAAATTTGATAATGCTAAAACCCTTTAGAATCAGATTACGAAAAATTTATTTCTTATAAATATTTTTGTTTTAGAGTAGATAGTCTGTTTTTAATTGGACCAAAAAAAAAATTAATTGAGATACAAATAAACGGACTCCAACTCTCCCCAAACTAAAAAAAATATACTCTTGGGGGGCGGGGGGGATCACCCACATCGGAAATTGTGGATCCGAGATTATTATTATATAGATTTTTGTATGGTGAGCTTAACAAATCACATGGAGCCGGTTTATTAATGTGTAAAATAATTTTTATGGGGGTTTAGTGGACATAAAAAATTATTTAGAATGATTAAGGTCAACTCAGTTATTAAAATCATACAAAAATTAATACTATTTTTTTTTTTGGAGGGGGAGGGGAGAGGTGAAAGGGTCTTGAACCCTTAATCTCAAGAATATAAAATTAATACTATGCGGTCATCTATAGTAAAACTCTACCGAACTTAAATCAAGGGGTAATATTACACTAATTAAAAAATAAAAAATAGGAACTAAATAATGTATTTTTGAGAAGGGTTAAATATATTTTTAGTCTTCAAAATATGTGTTTAGTGTGTATTTAATCCTTAAGTTCTTAATTTATATCTACATAGTCAAATTCCAAATTTTTATCATCATGCGCCAATCAGGTGACTCCTAATCACATGTCCATTGGAATTACACCCATTCTAATCAGCTTAACTTTAAATAAGTTTGGTGGTTTAACGAAAAAAAAAACTTATCCAATTTCAAGTTTAAATGGGAGGTCACCAGAAAAGTCCCGGGAGAGTCTTGACGATGGACTGTGACACAATTACGTCGAAAAAAACTAACAAAAGAACGAATTGCAACATCGCTGAGCTGTTGGACACAATTACGTCGAAAAAAAACTAACAAGAATGAATCCTTGCTCTCTCTTTCAGGCTCCCTAAAAAACTTGAGTAAAGATAAGATACTAAAATATAAAACATAAACGTAGGCTATGACAAAAACCCTAAGGAGAAATAAAGACTGGCCTCCCAATGAGCTTAGGATTCATATGTTCAACCCAGAACAACCACCATATATCTAATTAATAATAAGTCAGTCCACTAAAGACTTATTATTGATCTTCTTGGCCTTATCTCAAAAATATATTCGAACTCCTTATTATTATATACTTAATAATTTTTCTACGTTTAAGATTACAGATGTCCACCAATTAAATAAATCATTCACAATTATATTTAATTGACTTCTTTTATTCCTTGAGAACTTTTCACTCAACTTATTTGTCATGTCGAATAATTAAATCCACTTGCAGGGTTTGACATAGACAAAACTTATGAGCTTCTTCAAGAGAATATCATCAATCCATTTAAATATTAGGACGTAGTTTCTGTAATATTTAATTTCTACCATACAAATAATATCATCTCTCAATTCATCAAATTTATTGACTCAATATGAATCTCATTCTTTGATGAATTAAAGTGACAAAAATTATATGCACATAACAATTAAATATTTAGGGATTAAGAGTATAAGTAATCATAATAATCATGAGATATTTATTATCTTATTAAATCAGTAAATGATAATATCTTCAACATGAGTCTATTCAATATATAAAGTGTACTAGTGCAATAATCTGAGATATCAAACAATCTCTTATAGTCAAGACAAACAATGCCAAAATATTACACTACAATCATACTGATGGCATGTCCAATTTCATCTACGATCATGAACATATACTGATATTATACAAGGATCCGATAATCTGGTTTTTTGTGCTTAAATTGAACTCTACACACCAGATTATCTACAATGTTAAATATAAGACGCATATGCATATCATATATAAAATATAATACAAACATTTTTGCCCATATATATTCTCAATAAAAATAGAAAGAACAAACTTTTATTAATTAATAAAACGAGTTTCACTACAAAAAATAAATTTTTAGTATATTATTAAATATATCATTCAAACACTATAATATTTTTATTTTAACATGAAATATGATCTATATTATAGTCATTCGACTTATTTTCATACAAAGAATTCATATTTGAAGTCCATTTATTTATTTAAAATTTTTAAAAGTGTCTCTTAGTTATATAAAATCATAATTGACAACCTAATTAGCATTTTAGTGATTAATTTTTATACAGGTCGTCACAGTTTGTATACATATAGTGTTAAATACATATATAATTATGTATGTGTGTGTGTGTGTGCATATATAAAAATATACAAACTTAACTTATTATTTTTTTTTTTTGAAGAGAAATTCGCATAGAATGATTAGAGTGAAGGCTTATCTAATTTTTTGGTAACATTCAATGCCAACTTGAATATCATTTGATAGATCGATGCTCAATATTCAAGTTGAATATATTTTTGTATAAACTGTGTGAGATAGAGTATAAAAAGAAACTCTAAAAAAAATTGAGATGAATTTAATAATTAGTGAGACGCGTATAAAATGGGGGTGAACTTAGTTACTAGTGGGGTGTATATAAAAAGAGTGAACTTATTAGTTTTATGATTTAGGGTTTAATGAGGGTGGGAATATAGATTTGTGGGGCGGAAATAGCCTCACCCTTTAATGAAAGACAGACCCTATAAAAGTAAGTCTGAGCCAGCTCTCATTATCATCCCTCTTTAACCTACCCCAACACCTATTCTTATTACTGTGTTTGGTGGACATTAATTTTGGGACATGAAATATTAAGATCAATATTGTGAAAATTATACAAATTTAATACTGTGAGAAAAAAAAAGGTGATAGAACAATGATCACTAGTTCAATAGTTAAAACTAGTCCCAATAATCTTGACACTATGGGTTCGATATCGATACATTGATGAAAATTAATGGTCCGATCAAGTTGTGCAGAGGCAGATCAAAGTTGCCCTTATTTATCGATTATCGATGCCTCACCGAAGACAACAAAAAAGTACAATAGAATCAAAAATGGGTGCTTTAAAAAAAACAAGTGAGCTGATTTAGACCTAAACCTCTTTATCACAGAGGATAATAAGCAAACCACCGATCAACCATGGCTAGAGATTCCCTCGGTTTGTACTCTGGAACCGTGTGGCCCGCTCCCTGTACAAGGAATGGCAACATAGTTAACTTCAGTTTTCATTAGTGTTGCAAATGAATTGAATCGAACCTAACAAAGCACTAGATTAATGTTCAATCTTGACTCGTGATCATGACAAACTTAGATCATTTGTTTAAGCTTGATATTTAATAGTTTCAAAGCTCAATCTCGACTTGACTCATTTTCATTAAATGAACCGTACTCGAGTTATTCAAGCTCAAACTTGAATCTAGACTTGTATTCAAGATTAAGCTTGACTCATTTATATATGTATCAATAGATATATTATGTATGCAATATATATGTATAGATGGTACATTACACATAACTAGGTATAAACTACCTCAATTTCTTCCGGTGTCTCTTACAAGATACTAATTAAATATATTCGATAATTTGCCTTATTGAGGTCAAGAGTTCAAGCTCCCTTCCCCCTCCAAAAAAAAAAAAGATAAGTATTAAGAGAGGGATTCATACCTTCATTGTTGCATATGTCAATGAGTAGTCATTGCGGGCATAAGCGATTGTATATCTACATAAAAACAAGTTACCATTTTACTTTTTGAAACTCTAAATTATGACAACTGAAAGCAGCTAAAGATCATTATGGTACAAAGATGTTTAGGAACTTACCCTGCTATTTGGCCATCAACAAACCACGGTTCCCAACCACTTTCAATATTCAAGTTTAGAGAATCTATCCATTTCTCAGTGCTCAGGTGTGGAACCCTCATGTCAAGATCACCACTGTTGGAAGAGAAAAAGTTATGTTGTAATAATAAGTTATATTTTTTGGTTTGCTTGTTTTAAAAATTTGTTAATAATTATTTATGATATACCCTCTCTAACAACTTTAATTTTTAAAACAGTCGGTGCTTAACATGGTATTAGAGGCTAAAGTCTTGAGTTCAAGTCACACCAGGCCGTCGCCCTAAGTCCCAAAATGAAAATCGATCAGAGGATATTCTCACAAGTATAAGATTAGCACCCCTTATGCCACTAAAATACCTAGTTTTTATAGGAATTTCGTCCTTGGGGACTGTGATTCGTAATTATTACCAATTACATGTACTAGAATGAGATGAAAAGAGATTCACATTTCAGCAGTTGATTCCTAGTACTCAAAATCAACATCAATGCAAACCAAAAACAAAGCAGCCATAGCTAAATCCGAGAGCCTGCTTCGATCTACTCTAACCGCTTAACAATTTTCATCTCTTTTCCCTAGAAGTATTGTAACATCTTGAACCTACATCGTATAGTATTATCCTCTTGGGGCCAAGCTTGTATAATTTTGAAACACGCCGTTGAATGTTCAACGTTACAATGATATATGAACAAAGATGGTTTTAGTATACAATTACCTGAAAATTAAAGCTCGACAATTTTTGTGCGTGAGATTTCGATGATAGCCAACAGTACTAGGGACGTTGAATGTGTAAGCGACGGTTGCACTTACACCAAATGAGTATTCTATACTCGTATTGCATTGAAGCCACTCTGTTTTTATCCCCTGCCAGTCATAATAAATCAAGTGATGAAATTATGAAAAGTGTTATATTCAATGTTTGTGGTTGTAAGGTTAATGTACCTCGCGGATGTTAAGAGCTTTTTGGACATCTCTATCATTAGCCCACTTGGTGGCAAAAATGTAGTTGTAGCCCTACAAAACATAAAAAGAGGGACCTGGTAACGATTGATAGCTTTGTCAACAAAATATAAGCAAATGTATTTGTAAGAATGGGATCCCATATTTAAACGTGGGGTTTCCAGCAAAACACAGCAAGTCACCTTTTACTGAAAATAATTTGAGAAAAAAATATGTTGGAAAAGATCTGCGTATGTAGGAGGAGGGTATTACCCGACACCATGGTCCTGGAACTTGTTGTAGTGGCCCGAGAAGATCCATGGAATTTTCTTCAGCAGAGTTTCTATCCCATCTCAGCAAGTTAGATTTTACGTTCATTGTAGAACACAACGGTTCCAAAATTTGTGGCAAATTTATTTTGTCGAGGCACTGTAATAAAGCAAATGCTTGATATTGTTAATGCCTAAAATAAATTGAATAGGGCAACATGTGTTATCAAAGCAAAGGTAGGAATTCTGCTCACCTTGTCTACTAATTGTAGATTGCTTGAACATAATCCATTGCTTGGATCCACATCTATGTATTCGCCCTTGCAATTTGCCTTGGTTGACTAAAACATTCATAGAATACTACATATTTCAGAATCACACATTTGAACAAAAAGTCTACTTGAGGCTAATTGTAACAAAGAATGATGTAATACTATAATCGTAAATATATAACTTCTACAAATATAATAAAGGAGTTAAGCGACTTCTGAAATAACTTGTCACATGTGATGACTTGATCAATGTAAATTTGAATCGTTACTCCCCATCATAGTAAAAAGGGGGAAAAAAAACAATTGGGTTGTGGTATCTATCATTTAAGGGCAATGGTGTGCATGCATATTCCCAGGGAAGCTCAGAGAACTCCATTAATCTCAAAACTTCGACTCAAAAATGTGAAGTCACCTTGTAGAGATTATCAGAGAGAAGTGCCACGCGATGGGCATATTTGATTCTTGAATTAATGTCTCTATTTTTATCTGTAAGAGGATTGCCAAGCATGTATCCCTGCATATAATACAAAGACTTAAACTCGATACTATGACAGTATACCAAAGCAAGCACACAATAACTAGGTCTTTCGAGAATTTCAATAGGATCCTTACCTTAATATTCATTTGTGGCTCATTTCCAGCCTCATTACCTATACAAAAAAAAAAAAAAAAAAGGAGGAGGGTAAATTAAGTATTGAAAATCTCAAGTTTAAAAGCAAAATCTTGCTCAATAGCTCAGTCATTAAATTTTGGGCTCATCTTCAAAATATGTACTTATGTTCTTTTTGGTCTCTAAAGTTTCAATTGCACCTTCAAATTTTAACCAAGTTTATATTCAATTCTTATATTCAAATGAAATAAATTAAGTTTTTTCCCGTCAATGCAAGAAGAGTTTTTTCTTAAGTCACATTTCTATCAAAATGACCCTTTCGCTAGAATAAATTAATGAATTTGGATGTAAGGACTAAATTGAAACTTGATCAAAAATTTAAGTATTCTATATTTGCAATTGAAACTTCAACGACCAAATAAAAACTAAATAAATATTTTTAGGGTAAAAAAATAATATGCTCGTAAAATAGAGGGGCATCCATGACAATAAATACCGTTGTATATCTCCTGAACAATGATTGGAATAACCATGCCAATGTAGGAAACACCACAAATGTATAGTGGATTGTTTAGATACTCGGGGTGATCCACAAGCCACTGCATTGCCATGCAATAAATAAACAAAAAAAACATTTTTATTAGTTTGATTTCGTAAAGTACTCAATATAAGACTTGTATGTGTCAAAATGTTTTTAGATAATACATCACTACACAATCAAATATAATATATAATAATACATCATTTTTGTTAGACTTGCAATCTTTGAATGAATTTCTCTCACCTTTCTAAGAAATTCATATGTCTGTGTTGCTGATATTGTATCGCTACTGATGTAAGATTCTGAAGTATTTGCATAAGAGAATCCAGTTCCAACCGGCTGATCAATGTAAATGATGCTGGCAACCTACAAAGTTATAAAAAGTTTTCATTACTCGGTGAATTAGAGTTTTTTAGTCTACAATGTAGGCAGTTCTTCCATAATTTAAAAATCATACTGAGCTACATGATATTTGGACTTGCAGCTATGACGGAAACTCGAGAGGCACATATTTATTGTTACAAAGCTGCGGGGTAAAGTATTAGACCTTTGTCCAGGAATAAGGGTTCAACTCCAATGTTGGTGTCTTTCCAATGGACTCTTCATAGTTAAATGTAAATGGCCCTGCAAAGAAAAGAGGAAAAACAAAATAAAGGAATTTCTAATGAGGAATATTAGCCTTCTAACTAGATCATATAAGTTCGATTGAAAATGGATTATATTTTTTGAATAGGTGTAACAAAGCAGGTTTTGCAACAAAAAAAAAAAACCCTATTTGCCTCTTTGTTTTCTTGTTTTCCCAATAATTATCTAAGGCAGCGCTCTCGTTGTTGCCAGGACACCCCAATACAAATGTCCCAAGTAATTTGAAAACTTAATGCATTATTACCGATAGATTGTCAATAGAAGTCATTTAACACTAGTAATCCAAAACCGCATTGCATTAGGTGTATTCAGGGCCGACCCTACCTCATAGTAAATAAAATTTGGGCTTTTGGCCCCATAATTTGAGAAGGTCCTATAATTTTTATTATATAATTAGCTCACATCAAAAAATTTAAATCTATAAACATTTTAAATCTCACTAGAAGGTCCCAAAAAATTAATTCCAAAAAAAAAAAAATTAATTTCAATAATTTGGGTGCATGATCCAACCCATAAAATTAGAAATCCAAAAAATCAAAAGTTAAAAAAACTAAAAGTACTAAAAAAAATAATGATATTTGGACCTAAAAATCTGTCTTAATTTATTGACTTAATGACGTGGTTTCATTAAAACCATTAGATCAATACTAAGTTTTAATATTTGATGGAACCCACAATTAATTCAAAGATTATAGTGAATCAGGTCAACAAATTAGATTAGTAAATTAAATTTCAATAACATCGCCCTAAAAAAATCTACTCAAAAGGGAAGTTGAATTAACCCCACACATTTACTCTCTCTCTCTCTCTCTCTCTCTCTCTCTAATAAAAAATAAAAACAAAAGTTAAAATATATCTCTCTGCAACACTAAGTCACTCTCCCTTTATCACACACACATAAAAAAATTTAAAGTATATTAATTTTAATATTAAAAATAAAAGGCCCATTCAATATTATCGTTTTAGGCCTCAAAATATTTTGGGCCTCCCCTGAGTGTATTCACATTAAATTCATAAACTAGGTCTCATTAACATTGCTCTTTAATATGTGAGTATATAAATATTAACATATTTCGCTAGTTAGGTCCCTTTCTGCATATCTAATATTCGGTCAATTCTCCCCGCTCCTAGCTTAGCCTATCCAATATCCAATTCAAAAGAGTTTGAATTTCTACTTTTTCTCTCTCCGTATAAAGTCATTTGGTTCCAGTGCTGGGTACGTAGAGCTCATATTTCTTTCGGATAGCATAAAAGTCATGGATATGGTGAGACTTTTATATTTTTTTTGAGAGAATTGAAGAGAAAGAGTAATAGAGTGGATCTGAATCTTCATTTCAAATTCCTTGTGGGCCTTTCTTTTGTATTTCTTTATAAATTAGCCGCTCTTGCACAGTAGATCCACGTGATCCACGTAAACCCATGGACAACTGTGACCTATTGAAAAGCTCGAGTTTAACTAATGCTTTTTTGTAGCATAGTTTCAAAAACAGCTATAAAAAGAGATCAAGCTTAAAAAAATATATATCATGTTATGATAAAAGCTCAAAAATTCTACATAGAAAACATAATAAATAAGGTGGGTACGTCTTGAAACTATCACAAATGTTTTCCATGTCTTTCGGTTCCAAAGACACACTTAGTAGGTAGAGTGACTCGCACTTTTATATGGCCCAAAACCTTCAGATCAATATGGTTCTAAACACTCTGATCAACAACATATGTAAAACTCGTTTGATACTTCTACAATAAACTATAGGGGTGTCCCTATTATTGGACCTTTTCTGTTCGAGTTTTCTCCTCAAATTCCAGGGCTCATGCCCAGGATCCTCGGACTTTGATTTTGACACATGAAACTTGAAAAAAACTTTAAAGTTCCTTCCCCACGTTGCTTTGGATTTCATGGCAGGCAATATAACAGTGTGTGCCCTATGCTTACAGTTCAATTTTTCGATGAGTTTAAGAGTATCAAACATACCGATTTCATAGAAGAAGGCACGAAGAGCAGAACAACCAGGACCGCCGGCGAGCCAAAGTATGAGAGGATCATCTTTTGGACTCCCTTCAGATTCGACAAAGTAGTAGAATAACTGCACATCATTCTTTTCTCCTACACCAACGTAACTTCAACCCCAAATGGTCGTAAATTTGTAATCCTCCATTTACATTTTCATTAAAAAAAGAAATCGCATTCAATGAAAGTGAATCGAACAAAGAAGAAAAGTGTTAGTACCCAGTTTCGAGTTCAAACGGGAGATCACTGGGATAGCCCGGGAGAGTCTTGACGATGGACCGCGACGCTATTATGTCGGAAAGGAGCAACAGAAGAATGAGTCGGAAGAGCATTGGTGGTGCCATGGAGAGAGAGGGTCCTTCTCCAAGACTTCTGGTTTGTGATCGAAATGCACAAAGGTTGTCTTGAAGAAAGTCTCTAGGCTTTGATTCTTGCACTTCTTAAGGTTGAGGTCTCTGGTTTTTAGTTGGGGGATGTGGAGTGGTGGCTCCGGTCACTCCCGCTACCAATCGGAACGAACATGTTGGGTTAAATAGGAAAAAATATTGGATGGTAGTGATGGAATACCAAATAAATTTAATGGGTTCCATTGTTTTACTAAGTACAAATAACTACCTCAATCACGTTAGAATAGTCGAGTTCATTAATCTTATTTATTGTTTTATAATTTGTAACAATGATGGCGTGATATTTTCATTACGCCTAATCTTCACTTGTTAAATAAAGTCCGAGAAAATTGAAAACGCAATTCTTATGTGCCGTTGAAAAGTATAAAATGCTATAACTAGGTTGTATCCAAATATGAGTTGATGGGACTTTTCTGAAATACTCTATAATGAAGACACGTGTCTTCGGTATTACCAAAACACTGTTGCTAAGATCAAGCACCATCGGCGCATAAAGGTCATCGCCCCCGAGGTACCCTCATATAGGATCATGCATTCAGTATGTTTTACAAACGACACGTGGCCTCGGTCTGATATGGTACCCTCGGTCGGCATACCTCCCTCGGTTCCGAGATAAGCCTTTCCTCGGTGCCGAGATGTACCCTGTTCTGGACGCCTCCTCTACTCCAGGATAAGCTATTGAATACAGGTCATTAGCCTAGGCTATTCATCATAACCTCGTCTTACACAATTAGTGTCAGAACGTACAGGAGTGCAGGGGCCACAGCCAATGAGGGATGAACGCGTGGCATATGATATCACATCAAAGACAGAGAAACCGCATGTCGTTGCTGACACACGACTTGGGAAAGCAACCTATTAATTACAACATTCCTTTGATGAGACCGCATTCAATGCGGTAAGGCTCGGAAATGAAAGGCAATAAATGCTCCTAATACAGAGCATTTATTGCATCCTCCCCGAGAGGAGTACATTGTACCGTCGGCATCCCGATGGCACAGCATTGATTGCTCGGGACCCCGAGCAGTTAAGAAGAGAAGACATTCCTCATCAGAATCAGTGCACACACTGCCTGTACCTAATGATCATCTACTGACCACACTGACAGCAATCATGAGCTTTTGAGGTATAAATACTCCTTGCAAAAGGCAAGACGGGTATGCAACAATAAACTCTTTACTACAATACACACTCAGTGTTTTCTCCTTCCTCTCTCTTTCTCAAAGACTGACTAGATCGTCGGAGGGGATACGCCGGAAAACACTCCGGCGCCCTTCTAACTTGTTCTTCTTTGTTCCAGGAACCTCTTTCAGCCTTACTGGATCGTTCTTCCGTTCCCAGGGTCTCCCATTGCCGTTCCAGGTTACCATCGGACCTCGCAGGCTGTTCCAAGTAGCGTGTTTGGTCACTCAACCGGCTCACTCGAGTTCACAAAGGGAGAGATCTGTTCTCGTTTTTTATATTATGCAGGATCTTGCACGCATAATCTGGCGCCGTCTTTGGGAAATGACTAGTTTTCCTAGTTTTTTTCTCTATAAAGAACAGTGACCATGGTGAACACTCGACAAAAAGGGAAAGGACCCCACCAAAGGAGTCTCGAGTTACAAGCTCCCTGTCATCACGGAGGAAGGGATCACACCAATACTAATAAAAGTGTCTCTACCCAGTCAAGAGGGGTTACCCCTCAAACCAGTATGGGAATCAGGTCAGGGGGATCAGCCCCCTTGGCTCGTCAGCTGGCGGAGGTGATTGAAGAAAAATTTGGCGATAGATTACGTCAATTGGAAGAAGGACAATGTAAACGTCCTAAGCCGGCTCGACGAGTTTGCCGCCTCTGGCGGAGGGTCGAGAGATTCATTCCTTTCCCATGGGTTTCCCGCCCGGGAGGCAGAAACAAAGGATCTAAGAAACCACCTAAACAACAAAGCAGAAAGCTCTAGGGCCCCAAAGCGACCCAGAGCCGGTGAGCATCACCATGACAACCATTCAAGGAAAGCAAGACAATTGGCCCTGGACGACCTCCGGCGAGGTTTGTCCAGACGGAGGAAGGGAGATAAATCCGAGGAGGACTCGACCCAATCCACCCGACGCCCAGGAAATGAGGGGTTTACCGATGAACTCAAGGACTTCAGAAGGCATCCCGCCAGGGAAGAAGTTGATCTCAGAGCCCGATTAGACGCTGTCCAGGATGAGGCCGAGGACGAAGTCATGCAAACACCCTTTACGAGGGAGATCAGTGAGATGGAGGTCTCAAGAAAATTTGTCGTGCCGCGGTTCAAAACCTATGACGGGCGGTCCGATCCCGAAGCCCATATCAGGCAATACAAGCAGATGATGTCCCTCTATCATTCGGACCAACGGTTTCTTTGCCGAGTGTTTCCTATGAGCTTGGGGGACTCTGCGATGAATGGTTCGAGACGCTTCCTCCCAACAGTATTGGGTCCTGGAAGGAATTGACTAGGCAGTTCCTGGCTCGATTCATTACGGGGAGTAAGCGCCCTAAAGACATTGGATCATTGTTGACCCTCAGACGGAGGGAATCCGAGACTCTTCGCCAGTACGCCATCCGATACTGGGAAGAGGTCAATGAGGTAGAAGGCTGCTCGGAGGTCATGGCAGCAGCATCTTTCCGGCTCGCTTGGCGAGGGACACGGACCTGTACCGATCCCTGACCAAGAAGACTCCCTCGGATATGGGGGAACTGATGGCCCGGATAAACAAATACTCGAGGGTTGAGGACGAGATGGGAAGCAACAAAGGCGAGCCCTCCAATCTAAGAGAAAGGAGAAGGAGCGGGAAGATATTCCCCGAAAGGGATTGCTACCCCTCCAGGGGGTTCGTCCAGAGGAGTTCACACTGTTTCAAGGAACCCATCTTCAAGTTGCTCCATAAAATCAAGCACGAGCCGTTCTTCAAATGGCCGCCCAGGATGCAGAGCGACCCCTCCACCCGTGATCAAAAGGTTAGGTGTTCCTATCACCGGGATTTCGGGCATCGCACCGAAAGCTGCAGGGTGTTCAAATCGTTCTTGGAAAGCTTGGTCCGAGACAGACATTTGAAAGAGTACATAGAGCCCAGGCCAGAAGAGAGACGAGCCCTTGCCCCGACGAGAACCGGACAACATCATAGATGTCATTCATATATGTCCCCTGGATCGCCCACGTCCAAGGAACTCGAGTCCGACCTCAAGAGGGTAGCTTTTACGAGGAAGGTAGCCGAGGTGATGTAGGGCCACAAGTAAAAGGGCCAGGACGGGTGAGCTTGGCATTACGTTCTCCGACGCGGATTTGACAGGCGTAGTGACTCCCATATAACGACGCCCTTGTCTTGACCCTAAGGATAGGAAATTCGATGTCAAAAGATTTTGATAGACTCTGGAAGCTCCTCGGAGGTGATGTACTTCGAAACTTTGAACGGATGGTTTTGCCCCAAAGACCTCACCAAAGTCAGGACACCCCTCATCGGGTTCAACGGCTCATTCGCTTGCCCGTGGGGAAAATCACATTGCCAGTTGTCACTGGTCCCTTCATCATCGACACCGAGTTTGTTGTGATCGATACGGACTCTCCCTACAACGTGATTATGGGGCGAACATGGCTGCATGCGTTGGAGCGGTGCACTCCACTTTCCACCAGAAATTAAAATTCGCCACCCAGAAGGTATCATGGAGATCCGGGGGGACCAAGCGTCCGCGAAAAACTGTTTTTATTCAGCCGTTCGAGCCGGGGCGTCCAGCCGGAGAAGTGCAGCAGGGGAAGAGACCGGAAAGAGATTATGGAAAAGAGCAATTACAGTCCGGCGTCCAGAATGGATGACCCCCGGATAGACCCAACTGAGCGGTCAGTGGAACCTCGGAAGGTGCCCTTGATAGAAGGAGAAGAAGAGAGGTATTTCCTAGTTGGACCTCGATGCCCACAGCCGAACAAGAGGAGATGATCGAGTTCCTAAGGGGGAATACAGACGTGTTCGCGTGAACGAGATGGAAATGACGGGGGTAGACCCCGAGATAATCACACACAGGCTGCATGTTGACCCGTCGCACAAGCCAGTCAAACAGAGGCCACGACGCATGGCCCGCATCACACCCGCGCAACGAGGTCACGAGAACGACACCTCTGAAGGCCGACGCATTCGAGAGATACATTCCCAGAATGGCTATCTAATACGGTGTGCGCAAAGAAGAAAGGGGAAATGGCGTGTCTGCGTAGACTTTACAGATCTGAACAAGGCATGTCCCAAGGATGACTACCCCCTGCCAAAGTGGACCAGCTGTAGATGCCACAGCCGGATATGAACGAATGGACTTCCTGGATGCCCGAGCAGGATATCATCAGATCCCTCTCTATGCCCCGGATCAGAAAAGACGGTTTTATCACTCCGAAGGGAGTTTACTGTTACAAAGTGATGCCGTTTGGACTAAAGAACGCTGGGCAACGTACCAAGACTGATGAATCGGATGTTCAAAAACAGATCGGCAACACCATGGAGGTCTACATAGATGATATGCTGGTAAAGAGCAAACGGAGTTGTGATCATCTAACAGATTTGGCGGATACCTTCTCCACCCTCAGAGAGTATGCTGAAGCTGAATGCGGCAAAGTGCGTTTTTGGAGTGGAATCAGGAAATTCCTCGGATACCTGGTTAGTCAACGGGAATCGAAGCCAACCCAGATCAGATTCAAGCGATCCTGGACATCCGGAGCCCCGCACTGTCCGAGAAGTCCAGAAACTCACAGGGATGCTGGCTGCACTAACCGTTTCGTCTCACGCTCCTCGGACAAATGCAAACCCTTTTTCGAGCAATCAAGAGTGCTGGGAAGAATATGTGGAGCCAGGGGTGCGAGGACGCCCTGGCTGGAATCAAAGAATACCTAAGGACTCTTCCAACCTTTCCGTCCCCATCCAGGGGGAGATGTTGTTCTTGT